GACAGACCAACCCCAAAGTCCCCTGACTCCGCTTTCTCCATTGAAGACGTGCTGGTGGGATTGAGAAGGTCTGAGAAGTATTCCTTCCACCTCCCAATGACATCACTGGTTGAGGTCAACAACACTCTACCTTCACTGAACAGTGTTAGTAAAGTGCTGCTTTCCCCTCCTCAGCCATCAGATGGTTTGCCAGAATCTCCTCGGAGCCGACCAAGAGTCTCTATCCAAGGTCTCACTGAACTCCTCCCACATCCGAGCTTTTGCCTCAGCAACAGCCAAGGCTGCGGACCGCTTGGCCCTTCGGTACTCCTCAGCTGCCTTCAAAGTCCCACTGACCAACAGGCCCAATAGGACTCCTTCAGCTTGACAGCCTCCCTAACCCGGGTTGTCCACCACAGAGTTTGAGGATGGCCACCACGAGAAGCACCGACAACCTTGCGGCCACAGCTCAAGGCAGCTACCTCAACAAGCGAGGCGTGGAACATGGCCCACTGGGACTCAATGTCCCCCACCTCAGCTGGGATGTGGTTAAAACTCTCCTGGAGGTGTGAGTTCTCTCTGACAGGTTCTTCTGACAGGCGTTCCCACCAAACCCTCACTATGCATTTGGGTCTACCGGGTCTGTCCGATATCTTCCCCTGCCATCTGAACCCAACTCACTACCAGGTGGTGATCAGTTGACAGCTCAGCTCCTCTCTTCACCTGAGTGTCCAAAACAAGGCATCGATCTAAGACCTATAGTGTCCTGGTGCCAAGTGTACTTATGGACACCCTTATGTTCGAACATGGTGTTCGTGATGGACAAACTATGACTAGCACAGAAGTCCAACAACAGAACAACGCTCGGGTTCAGATCAGAGAGACCGTTCCTCCCAATCACATCCCTCCAGTCACTGTCATTACACACATGGGCATTGAAGTCCCCCAGCAGAATAAAGGAGTCCTCAGCTGGCGCACCTTCCAGCACCCCTGCTAAGGACTAAGAAGGCCTGATACTCTGAACTGCCGTTTGGCACGTAGGCACAAAGTCAGAGTCCGTCCCCACACCTGAAAGTGCAGGGAAGCCACCCTCTCATCTACCGGGGAAAACTCAACACACAGGCACCAAGTCGGGGGCTAAGTAGCCCCACACCAGCTCAATGCCTCTCACCATGGGCATCTCCAGAGTGGAACAAGGTCCAGCCCCTCTCAAGGAGATCGGGTCCAGAGCCCATGCTGTGCGTCGAGGTGAGCCCAACTATATCTAGTCGATACCCGTCAACCTCACGCACAAGCTCAGGCTTCTTCTCCATCATTGAGGTCACGTTCCATGTCCCAAGAGCCAGCTTTGGTAAGCCAGGGTCAGAGCGCCATGGCCCCCACCTTTGGCTACTGCCCATGGAGTCATGCACCCACCTTGTATGGCCCCTCCTGCAGGTGGTGGTCCCAGAGGAAGGAAAACCCATGTTGCTCGTTCGGGCTGAGCCCGACTGGGCCCCGTGGGTAAACCCGGTCATCAGGCACTTAACGAGCCCCTTCCCCAGGCCTGGCTCCAGGGTGGGGCCCCGGTAACCCACGTCCGGGCAAGGGACACGGAGTTCCTTCACTTCTTCTTTTTATTAAATAACTATAAATTCATATCAAACTTTATATCATTAATCCTAAAATATGTCATGCAGCATTCTATAGTATTTGTATTTTTAAATGAAAGCAGATAAATCACGATGCGTTTTATCAGTTTCAATGTTTTTCCTCAACTTGTATATAATTTGAACGTTTCTCAAGATCGATTGTTCCGAGTTAATTATTCTGCCACTGTCGGCATCAGAGGAGAAAAAATACAAACTGAATAAAATATTGTTTAGCAGCTCAGCTTCATTACTGAGATGTAATTCAATAACGAGTTTTAATTTTAGGAGCCATTATGAGGCTCTGGACTGTAAGCAATGAAAGGCTTAAAAATTGTTGATATTAAATAAATACAAGAAAATAATGAGACAAGTCTGTCCCTCATTTTAAGTCAGAATGTTAAAAAAGAAACAAGTCACTTTAACAAAATGTTTAATTTGTGAGTTAGGCAACAAACAGTGACGGTAAAAAGGTTTTTATACACCGGCCTGAAAGGGAACCGCTGGGATTTGGGTCAATCATGTACCATCCATCAGTTTACGTCTGTTCTGACAACATGCAAAACACTTTGTACAATCTGTTTTCATGATTAAGAAATGTAGATACTTATAACTTTTGATAAAATTAGTGCTTTCAGCTTAACTGTGAACTTACAGTATGTATAAAATCTCCCCTCTGCAGTGATTCACGTCATCGGCTCCGAACCGTCGGGTCAGATCAAACATGCGAACTGACAGGAGGTCAGCGTGAAAGAGACATCAGGTCGACGAGGGAAGCACTAACTACATCAGAAACTGAGCAGAATTTAAGCTGCTGATTAAAAAACAGCTCCTCACCGCTTTAAGGTTTGATCCGTCTGCTTCAACCACGACAGGATTCTTTTGGTTTTCATAGCTTTAACCGTGCCACGCACTGAAACCTAAAGTCCACTGAGGTATAAAATATAAAGAAGGTCCACCACAACCGCCTCCCATCAGACATTTAAACTATACTGTACTGCAGCACTTAAAGGGTAGTTCAGATCTTTTGAAGCGTGATTCTGATGTAAAGCGAACAATTCAAGCCTGACGTTAGAACAAAGGTCTTTAAATGATTTAACCGACCTCAAACGGCTCCAGTCTCAGATACTGCAGCGCTTCGTGCACACGCTGTTCTATAAACACTAACGCGCCGTCAGTTTTGCAGTTTACTGTTATTTCAGTAGAAATGATGAGAGCTTACAAATAAATCAAAGTCTTTGCATTCTTTGAATAACATGCGGCACCCCGGTCTTTCACGCCAGAGGTTTGAAAAGTGACAGAATTGTGTTCGTTTTGGAAAAACATTAAAATTAACACTCAGAATGTGTGTTGTGATCTACTCTCAGCTACCACCCCCCGACTGCTGCTCCACGTCTGTAAACTTGACCGAGTTATAGACGTTTTTGAGTTTCATTAAAATCCATCCTGTGGTTCATGAGATATTTTGCTAACAGACGGACATGAACATGCAGACGTCGTCTGCCTTCGTCTTTCTATGGCGGGTGGCAGCAGCATTCCCTGGAAACAACAGGGACATGTAAAGGGTTAGACAGTCCTGACAGCTGTTCATCAATCTAACCAGAACCAAATCCTTTCCCCAAACAGAGGTCATTCAAAGAGCTATCTGCAACAGGTAAGACATTTACTGTTCAAAACATCGCCTCAGAACCCTACTTCAAAAGATCTGTACTGCTTGAACTGAGCTCAAGTAAAAAATAAAAAGTGTGAACACCAGGGGGCGCCAGAGCAGAAATAATCCGTTTCATCTCCTCAAACAAGTCTTCTCCAACCAGAAGTTTCCTAAATACGCTGCAGGTGTAACGCTGGATGAACTGAAGTCAGGAGGATGAAGATGAGGACGTAGTGATTAGGCTCACTTGGGTTTTTCAAGTCAGGAAGCAGCAGTAGTAGTCAACACGTTTGCTGTGGGTGACCGTTCAGTGACATTTCAGACAGGATCTCTGTGAGGGCTTTACAACGAAACACAAACGATGCAACTGAATATGATCTGTACAGGTAAAAAAAACAAGACTGACACCGACAACCATGACCGTGATGTCGTTTTCTCAGTTCTTATGTAATAAAATCTTCTCAGAGGTCAGTCAAAACACATGACGGTGATGAAGGACATCCATCGACCTTCAACTGAAGTCCTTTTGAATTCTTTTAAAATTTTTCTTCATGCTGATAAAAAAACACGACTGTAGCTCCTGATGAGGCTTCATCTGGGTTTTCTTCTCAGTGGCACGGAGGTTCTGGTTGATGTTCTGAACATTCAGGGCAGATTAAAGCAAATCCATGTCAGCTACAGCCGCTGTGTTTGAGTTCACAGTGTCCGTCAGTCTGTCTGCCTGAGGTCCACATGAAGCTAACACCAGTCAGCAATGTAATCAAAGTCAGAAAACTGGTTCTGCTCCTCTGAGTTCAGCATTCGGGGTTCCCTCGGGGGGGTTAAAATTGGAGCCTCTGAGGTAAATTCGTCGTCAAAGTTGCTGACGTCGTTGGCGCCCTGGATGGTGGGCACAAATGGCGGCTTCACCTTCTTGGCCAACAGATCATCCCACTCCATGTACTGCCAGAAGACAGAGTAACGTTAGCTCGTTCATGACCCTGACTAAAAGTGCTCATTTTGTTTTTGTGCCTTACCTTGAAGAAAGGATGTTTCTTTACTTCCTCTGCATCCTTCTCTCCTGCTCCGAGACGTCGTTCTGGACTCCTCCTCAAAAGCTGCGCACAAGAAAAACAACAAGAGGACGGCACATTATGCGCCCGTCAAACTATCAGACAGCAATCTGTAGCAACGGCCCGGACATGCAAACACCCTGTATAACATTCAACCTTGATTTGTGACCTTGACCTTGAAGCTGGGTGATGAAGCGTGTATGCAGTTTTGCTCATTCATCTTGTGCGGCTCAAAGGTTATGGGACAAGTTTACGAACGTACAGACAGAAGCTGTAGCAGCAGAAGTCGTGCCTTGGATGCAGTAAAAAGGAGGAAACTCCAACACAGGAGGGTTTCAGCTTCGACCCGACAGACGTCCACTATGATGCAGAGTGGTGTGTAAAAGTACTGCGGCAGAGTGAGGGGGTAAGGTTCACACTCTGTGAAAGGAGCTACAGCCCTCTGTGAATAGCAAGCGGCCATCAGGGCCCTAACGATCAGTTGTTAGGTTGATGGTGCTTCTTTATCACGTGAACAGCTAGTTCTGGCTGTCACCATCAAACTGGATGATCCACTATGACTCAAATACTGGGGCGATGCCGGGGGGGGGGACGTGTGACCCCGGGGAACATGCATTTTTTTTGCCACAGGGAGTAGTTTTCTTCTTCTTCACCACTCTCATTTTGACAGGGTGCGTTCCAGCAACTGTTTGCTCGTATCCAGCAACTCTCAGGCGGACTAATAATAAAGTTATGAACAAACATGACTGCCTCGTCTTTTGTGGAGCCATGCTTGAACCGCGTCGCTCCCTCTGCTGCTGAGACGATAAATACACAACTCCGACACCTCTGCTGCTGGTTTTGTGACGCTCTGGACGCCCGTCACCCACAGCACACATGCAACAAAGAGTACCAGTATAAACTCAAAGCAAGAGTGATACCCGCCCCCTCTCTCCTCTTTCACAGAGGACCATGGGCAGCATTCTTCCTTTTGCAACATCTCATCTTTGTGAGACTGACTTCTCTGCTGTTGCAGCTCTGAAGTCCAGGTCCAGGTCCAGGACACATTGAGCAGGAGCTGAGAGCTGCAGTGTCATGTTTCAAAAAGCTGTGCACTGCAAAACGTGCTCATTGCAGACATTAATCATGACGTCCTCATTTTGATGTAAAGAAAAAAAAAAAAAAAAATCAGCACAAATCGTTTTATTCATTTTTGTTTTGTAGGTCAAAGTGTTTTATATAACACTCCTGATTTAAAACGTTGCTTAAAAATTTGAATTAATTATTTATTGATTATATTTAATTTTATTTTTCAGTATGAAATGGTCAAAATGTTTACAGTTGAAATAGATTTTTTTTCAGGCAAATTGATGCACTTTAATTTGTTTCCGTTACAAATTAAAAATAATGTTAATAATTAAAAAAAAGCTCAATACAAAAACAACTAAAAGTTATTCTTTCTTGTA